ATGTGCACTATTCTTCTGACCATTTGCTTTTTTATTTGCTTTTAAGATATTTGTTTAAAGCCTGGGCCGTTTCAAAAAAATTCTTTTGGCATTCTAAATTTTAAATTTAATTGCCTTTTGCAGTCCACTTGTATTTTTAAGCCTGATTAGAATTAATTTCTTGCACCTGTTTTTTCGTATTTGTGAACTACTTTCCGTGGCTTCTCTAAGCAGTTGCAGTAGGAGTGGAATTTGTGTTCTGGGTCATTTGGGTTTGTGTAAGGACACTTGAGAAAATGTCAGAGAAACAAAAGAAATCCTAATAGAAAAACAAATAACGCAGCCTATTGTATCCAATTAATGGATATCTACTTTAATTTCATCATTAGTGGATGTCTCTCAAACATAAATTTAAGTGAGAGGCAGCCACGTAAATCTCCTTGGAATCAAAGACTGGATGTTTTTAGTCCCAGCGTGGTGAACTAAATGGCTATGTGAATTTAGCCTCTCTGGATCTTCACCTCTCTGGGTTTCACTTCCTTATTTGGGGTTGGCTTAGTTCAGTGGTTCTCAACCTTGGCTGCACATTAGAATCACCTGGGAATCTTTTTAAAATCCTGATTTCTGGGCCTCAGGTGATTTTAAAAAGATTCCCAGGTGATTCTAATGTGCAGTCAAGGTTGAGAACCACTGGCTTAGTTGATCTCTAAAGTCCCTTCCAGTTCTAATTTATATTTCCTTTAGTCATAATTGACTTGTTTTCATGGTCTTATTCTTCTGTGTTATATTGGGCAGATAGCCTAATGAATTAATGCTTTTCCTTCTATCACAGTTTTCTAAACTTTGGTCTTTAGTGTATGTTATAGGTATTTTTTTGGATATACAGTACCTATATTTTGTGTATTCTATTAGATCTTAATAGTTTTCTTTCAAATAATCTTAAAGTTACTGACTACTTTTACTTAGCACCGTTTTAAGTTATGCTATCTGTTAATTATGTTTGTGATATGGGATATTTTTCTAGTACACAAATTAATATAGAAATGTTAAAGTATTTATTTCTGTGCCTCCCTAAATCTTAATAGAATGTGTGCTGCTCTTTAGGAAACATCACTATATTTTGGATTTGTTTCTTCAACTATCCTTATCCTCTCCTAATATTTTTGGTATGTTTTCTGTACTTGCACAGACATGCCAGTGCTTCTGATTGATCTACTAAAACTATACTAATTAGACCGAGTTTACTGGACATCTTCCAGTCATCTTGCCTTCCTTCTGGACAAAGCTATGGTGGCGGGGTCCGAGGTACGGGTGGTTAGGAGTGATCAGGCCCTCAGGGGAGGGCAGTTAGGGGCAATCAGGCTGGCAGGGGAGGGCAGTTAGGGATGATCAGGCTGGCATTGGAGGGCAGTTAGGGGTGATCAGGCAGGCAGGCAGGTGAGCAGTTAGGAGCCAGCAGTCCTGGATTGCAAGAGGGATGTCCAACTGCTGGTTTAGGCCTGATCGGCAGTCAGACATCCCCCGAGGGGTCCCGGATTGGAGAGGGTGCAGGCCAGGCTGAGGGACCCCCACACCATGCACGAATTTTGTGCACCATACCTCTAGTCCTATATAATAAAATACTAATATGCAAATCGACTGAATGGCAGAACGACCAGTCGCTATGATTGCACTAACCACCAGGGGGGCAGATGCTCAATGCAGGAGCTGCCCCCTGGTGGTCAGTGCACTTCCACAGGGGTTGTGCTGCTCAGCCAGAAGCCCTGAGCCAGGCTTATAGCTGGCGAGTGTGGAGGTGGCAAGAGTCTCTCCTGCCTCTGCGGCAGTGCTAAGGATGTTTGACTGCCAGCGTAGGCCCACTCCCCATGGAGTGGGCCTAAGCCATCAGTTGGACATCCCCTGAGGGCTTCTGGACTGTGAGAGGTGCAGGAGCCAGGCTGAGGGAACCCCTCCCACCCCCCCAGTACAGGAATCTTGTGTACTGGGCCTCTAGTATTGGCCATAATGAATAATTGAAGCCTGTAGTGCAAAAGTAAACTCCAAGAATTACGATGTATTTGATTTTGCTGGACACTTAGAGGAACTGCTATTTTGCAATTGCCTTAGTTCATTTTCATAGCCTGAGGTTCTCTCTATGTACCCAGGTAATGTGACACTTGACTATAAGTCTATACAAGAACTGGTTTAATTTTCATCCTTATCATGAGAATAAGTCCTTTAGGGCTATTTAACTGACACCCAACTTGGTCAGACACTGTGGACTTTTACTTTGGCATCACTTGCTGTGGTAGCTATCACAACCAATATTCAGTTTTTCAGTTGGTACATTGGATAGGCACTATTCTCAATATTTCTCTTTGCCTTTGTGCTTTCTATTGTGTTACTTCTTCAATGCTTTTAAGAATTTTTGACATTTTTAGTAGATCAATCAGGAGGTCTTGTTAATATTACTAGAAACAATAGTTAATTTATTACTTTATTAAAATTTCTAAAATTTTATTTCATGAGGCATTAGGTAGAAAGAATAGTAGATTGATTTGCTCCGTTCTCCTTGAGTCAGTCTCCTAGCAGGTAAAGATCTGTTTTGTTGTTAAAGACTGGGTTACTATTTTAGTGGTAAAGAAGCTTATGAATAATAACTAGTAGTCCCGGTGCACGAAATTCCTGCACATTAAAGGGAATTAATTGCCTTAACCAGTGGATGGCAATTAATTGGCTCAGTGGATAGAGCGTCGGCCAGCGGACTCAAGGGTCTCAGGTTTGATTCCGGTCAAGGGCATGTACCTTGGTAGCGGACACATCCCCAGGGGGAGTGTGCAGGAGGCAGTTGATCGATGTTTCTAAGTCTCTATCCCTCTCCCTTACTCTCTGTAACAAAACAATAAAATATATTTTTTTAAAAAGGGAATTAATTAGCAGAGATATTTTAATATTGCTATTTGCTCTTTCTCTATAATCGAAGTGTGAGAGATGAAAGGAAATTA